GACAAAGGGCCCTCTTCTTCCAGGAGTGGATTTCTAAGCACAGCACACGCAGAGCTGACCTGGAGAAGGCTGAATTTGGGAAGGGCTACACCAAGGGAGAGCTGCATCTGGGTCTCCTCAGCTGGACCGGGAGCTGGACCCCACACCATGGCTATAAAAAGCCGCTGCTAAGCATTACCAGCATCCATGGGTGTATCAGTCTGTGCTTTGGGTGGCCAGCAGCTGGCTCAGCGTGGTGAAAGCAGGTATTTCCACAGCCCCAGGACAGCACTATGGCCCCCCATTTCCACTTACGGGCTTCCCATTTTGGCTCCCATCATGGAGCTGATGGAGGGGAGGGCGTTTTGGGCACAGGCCCCGTTCCCCTGCAGTGGGATGGGAGAACTACGGCGGCTGAAAACGAACACAACGCGAGGAGCCGCACCGAGACCCCTGGGAGCGGCCGATGGCCGAACCAAGAGCTGGTCCAGGGGGGATCACAGCTGGGAAGGCTCCCAGTTCTCCAATGCTCAGATCTGGTGAGCTCAAATTAGGGTGAGTGGCTGCACATCACAACATCTTAGAGGTCACACACCTGCTGACAAGGGAAAAGCCTTTCCATCCCAGCAGCCGAGCATCTTTCTTACCCTGCTCCCATCTCCAGGACTTCACACACACTCAGATTACAGAGCATCCCAGCAGGAGAGCATCCTTGTACATGCTTTGCCCACTGGCATCTTGGCCAGGGACAGGTGGGGCTCCTACGGGCAGAACTGGACGGCAAGCGCCCCGGGAGCTCTCACGCCATGCGCTGGGCCATGGCAAGGCCACACAAGCAGGATGAAAGCCCGATTTGTGCCGTGGTGGGATGACACCATCTCCTGCTGGGGTCTGGTGGCTGGAACATGGACCTGGTGCTCCGAGATGGGGAGGCAGCGCTGCTTCAGCCCCACTCCTGGCGTCCTTACAGGTGATGTCTCAAAACGCTCTCGTTAGGTTGGGATGAAGCCACCGCGCCGGGGCAGCCTCTGCTGGGATGGTGCTGCCTCCGGTGCTGCATGTCCCTCGCCTCACCTGGGGTTCGTGTCCGTTTATCGGCCTCACGGTGCTAAGCTGCACGCTTTAAACACACAAGCTGTTAGGACTGAGAAGGCCTGAAGCACGTACTGGTTTTGAGACCTTTATTTCAGGAAAAGATTAAAGAATTAATTAAAATAGGAGCTGCCCTGCTGACAAGAAGAGTTGAATTCAAGAAGCTGATAAAAAAGGAGCATTATATGCATTGAGCACTGTGCATTTTTCAGTCAATATTGGCTCTACTTTCTACTCTACTTTCCTTTGACTAGGAAAAGGGAGTTTCACATGCGCACAGACCCTGGGATACACGGGACTCAATGAGAGGAAGGGAGTAACAGCAAAAAAAAAAAAAGAGAGTGCTGGGCTTGATCTAACAGAGGCAAGAACGTGATCTTACAGCTCGGCCCCCCAAAACACCGACCCTGACCACCAGCGAGAGGGGAGGCAATGAGACTCCCACGGGGCGGCCTCGATGGTGCACGTGAGCATCCGCAGCTCCCTGTTCGCAACCACCGGGGCGGCCACCAACAACCACCGGGGCGGCCACCAACAACCACCGGGGTGGCCACCAACAACCACCAGGGCGGCCACCAACGCTGGTGGGGCTTCGGCATCGCCTACATTCAGGACACGGCACAGTCACGGGGCAGGAGGATCACTTCTTGCGTCCTTCTCCAGCGAGATGTCAGTGTTGTACCTCCAGGCTGAGGACGCCGGCACCACGGACTTGCGCTCCCCGACAGCTTCCCCCAGGCTTTCCCCCTCCTTGTAGGTGCAAGTAATGCAATCGAGATCAACGGTTCGATCAGGCTCCTGGCGTGCTCTGAGCACTGGGTCTCTTGACAGCAGTAAAAGCTCGGTATGGCCGATACCACCCCAGGCCCTGCTTGCATACCAAAACGGTTTGGTAAGACAGAGCTAGCTTATTCACAGGCTACTGAGCCTTAATACTGACACTTAGTGTAATGGGTTACAGTAAAGGAAGGATTCTCCTACAAAGCGCCGAAGAGAGGGGGGGGAAAAAAAACCCACCACCCCGATCCCTTCCTCTCCCTCTCAGTCTGTGGAGCATCTCACAAGCAGGGAAAGGAGCCGGGGAGGCGAGAGGGGGGCACCGCCACGGCGGCGCCGGGTCCCGTCGGGGGCGTCAAGACGAACGGCACAGCAAGGACAGTCGTGAGGAACGAGAGACGAACGGTGCTGGTGCTGTGCTGCCTCAAGCTGGGAGGTGCGCGTGGTCAAGCGGAGCGGGGAGAACTACTCTGTCTTCAAGTCCCTGGATTCAAAAAGCTTCAGGCGTTCTTGCACGGTCAGGCCTTCCTTCAGGCTCTGGAGAGACAAAGGACAGACAGCGTCGGGCGCACGGGAAGGCTGCGGTGCTCGGGCAAAGGGGACGCGGGCAGCGGGAGAACGGCCTCCGTGGTGGAGAGATTAGTGGGGCATGCTAAGAGAAAACACATGGTTATGGGGGGAGGAATGGTGCCTAGAGAGAGGGTGAGATTGCGGGTGAACCAGGCGACGTAGCGGAAGCGGATGAGGGGCACACACCATGCTGCAAGCGGGATTAGCTCGGCTTGGAAAATGAAACCTTGGAGCCTGCGGAGGTGGTCGGGGCAATTTTAGCAGAGCCTTGGGGCTGACAGCTTGGATCTGCTGTGCTAAAGCTCTGCGCTGCTGAGGACCTGCAGACCGGTCCTCCCCGTGCCACTGCAGCGCCGACTGAACGTGCACCCATCTGGGATGGTCCTGGCTCTGGTCAATGTGCAGGCGTTGCTCAAGGAGCCCTGGAAACCGCAGTTTTTTGCTGCCAGTGACAATCCCACCCTTTCTCTAACCCCAGCCCAGGGGCTCTCCCAAGCCAAAGCTGCCTCTACAGTGCAGGGTTAGACAGGGGACTCGCCAAGTGCTTGCTTCAGCTCTAGCAGGGTCTGATGGCTGATCCAGGTCAGATGCAGCATCCAGATTTCAAGCCGCGACACTCAGCAAGCCGACAGAGAAGCCTGGCAGCTTCAAAAGGCACAGCCCTGTCCACAGAGCCCCTCTATTTATGGGCAGCCACCTCCCTTTTGCTTTAATCTCCCTGACCATGGCACCAGAAGACTCTATGGTCACAGCAGCAGGTCAGGCGTTTGGGCTGGGTTTTCTTCAACGTGTTTATCAAGGCAGGGCTCCACGATAAACCTGCCCCGAGACTGTGCAGATTTCCATGGTTACTGTATAATTTCTTTAAATATTTCTTTAAATATTTCTCCTCCTGCAGGCCCGCACATACAGGACGGCTTTGGGAAGCTGCACAGAAAGGAAAGCACTGAAAAGGCTCGGTTTGAATCTACAAACGCTGGCTATGTGCTTTCTTTTCAACGGGCAGCAGAGCCCCTCAGGACGCGAGTCTCTGCGCACACACTTCCTAAAGGAAGTTTACTTAGGGCCTCCTGAGCGGGGCAGCAACGCCTGCATCCCAGCATGCGCAGCTCATTGCTCATCGGACGGAAGGAGACCACAGAAACCATGAAACTGTGCTGGACGGTGCAGATTCCAGCAAATTCAGCCCATTTGAGTTCATGAAGGGAGAGGAACGCAGGAGGAAATCTGTGATACAGAGATCCTCCCTCAGACCTCTTGCAGGTCTCCAGCTGCCGCGCTGGGGAGCTCCCCTCTCTTCTCTGCCCTCCCTCTCCAGATGCTCTAACCTTGGTCTTTACCACGGGCCAGTAAATTACTTATTGCTCCAGCTAATTGAGGTATCTGGGTCATTAGGATCATTAGGATCGTTTCTCATCAGCTCCCTCCTTGTGCTGGGTGAGCTCGGAGGCCTCAGGCCAGCGTTTGGGATGGAGGGGCAGTGCCGAGGAACGGGGAGCAGTGGGGTGGACACTGGGGAGCTGGAGGAAGCCTGGAGAGCAGCAGGAGGTCATTGGGCAAGGAAAGCTCTATTTTACTCAGGCACAGATCAACCTAAAGCAGCAGCAATTACAGGTAAGGGAAATAAAGGGCAGCCCAGGATATCCCCCCTGCAGCTGAGACAGCGGCCATCATTTTATATGCTTTTGTGGGAAATGCATTGAAAGGCATCACTGCCCCACTCCTCCGCCCGGCAAACAGCAAAAGGGCTGTATCTCCTGAGACCTGGCTGTTGCTGAAGTTTAGTCTGGGGCATGCAGAGCCATTCAAGCATGCACACTCAGCATCCCACGCTCCCAACACAGCAAACAGGAAAACGTGCCCCACCGCGTCCACATCCTCTCCGCGCCGCTTTAGCTGTGTTGGCGAGGGCGGGAGGAGCAGGAAGATGAGAAACCCCAGGGAAGAGCCAGAGAAACTGCATGTCACACAGATCTTGGGTAGGCTGGCTTCTCCCCTTCTCCCTCCCCCACCCCCGTAAAATAATTAGCCGTCAATAAACGAGTGAGTCATTAAGAGAAGAAGGGCTCTGGTTTGCCACGGAGGTGTGAGCAGTGCATGCAAAGTGGGCCGCTCCGCTGGGCTGGTGGGTGCCGGTTCGTTTACCTACGTGGCAGGGAACCTGGACTCGGGTTCATTTCAGTTATCCCATGAGACCTGCTCAATAACGGACTGTTGAAGGAAAAGGCAAAATAAAGAAAAAACAAAACAGAACAAGAAGCTGATGAATCCTGAATGCGTTGGCGGTCGCGCAGCCCCAGCCTCCCCAAGCAGAACCCGTGCTCGTTCTCCTCCTCCTTCCCCATCAAGCAACGCACACGGGGGACCAGGAAATTCAACGGTCTGGGTTGAAGTGGTGAAGGGAAACCCAAAATCAGGTCTGGGCTGCCTCAGAGCTGCTCTCTGTATTTACTCTGTGCAGCGCAGACGCCCCAAAAGCTGATGACCAGAGCTCGGGTGGTGATGGTTTCCCATCGGGAACTGAGCTCGAAGCCTTTTCTCAAAGCCAGACCCCAGCTTCTCGCTCTGCCCAAGCTCCCAACCACTTCAAACACCAGCACGAGACACCAGGTATCCAGTGGTGAGAGGCAAAGCAGGTTTTGCCTGATGTTCCTCACAACTGACCCACGTTTAACCATGACTTCTGAGCAGATTTATTTGCCCTTTTTCATCCCTGTGGTCCCACAGGAACAGCCAGCGTGCAACAGGATGGCAGCCAGCAGGCCAAGGAGATGAACTTGGCACAGCATCACTGGGCTTTGGGACCAACAGCAAGGACAGAATGGCCAGGGGGATACAGGGCCATCTGCACCACGTTAACACACAGCAAAGCGTGTGTTAAACACGCCCAGGAGCAAGGCAGCATTGTTAGACAAAGACCAAAAATGTTGCAGTGATGAACACTTGCAAAACCCACAGCGATGTGCACATCTCCACCTACTGACACCACCTAAATTTCAACTGCAAATACCGGGAGAGTCCTCCTGTGAAAGGCCAAAGAACAGGGTGAGCTTCAGCCTTATTTTGAGCAGGTAACAGCTTCACCCCTCGATCTCAGCAGGGTCAGGAGTGTGTGCCCATGGGGGCAGAGAGCCCTGCCTGGCTGCACAGCCAGGGTTTCACAGTCAAAAGCTCACTTTTCTCCCCATTGCCATCCAGATTAACACTAATGACCTGGAAATTCTCATTTTAATCCTTCTACCGATTTCCCCCCACCTGAGACCCCCCCGTCAGGCACTTCCCTCACACGGGGCAGGAGATCCAAGCTCACCTTTGACCTGATATTCCTTAGTTGCCGGCTAACACTGGATCTGTCTTTCTTCAAGAAATCAGGGTTGCTTTTTGATTTCATTATATCTGGGGAGAAGCAGAAGAAACAGCATCAGCGTGGTGCCCGTGGGCTTCCCGCAGGGAGCAGGGCTGGAGCTGCTCTGCCCTCCCAGCCCCGATGAGCCTGACTTGAGCAGCGCTGCTGAAGGGCAGGGGGGGAATTCTCGGGGGTCTCTGCTGCCCCCCGTTGCGTGC